GAGGGATGAGATCCATGACTTTGAAGGAGCTGAGGGTGGCCTTGGCCGACAGGGAGGAGCTCTGGCATGGGATGGTCCAGGAGGTCACCAAATCAGAAGTGACTGAACGAATACGTAAACAGTAACATCTTTGACACAGAGATGCCAATCAACATATCTTTACCCTTTGTTTTCCCAGACTGTCCCTTCCCAGGGGACATCTCTGCAGGTGATTGGTGCTTCACTCTGACCAATCCCTGGCTGCCATTCTCCCTCCCAGCCAATCCCGGCTTGGAATCAAGCCAACCTCTTTTCTGTCCAATCAGGGGAGGGGGCAGGAAGCCGGAATAGCTGTCAGATCTTTATAAGATGTCTTGTATTCTTCTAAAGTAAATTGCTGTACTTGCATCCTTTTTGGCCAAATGGAATAAACCTCTGTAGCTTGGCTTCAACCTGGTGAGCCTGTTTCTCTGTCTTGACCTCTCTGGACTAGCCTTTATTTATTTTATTGGTGGGGACGAGGGAGAGGGAGATTGGTGGGGACGAGGGACAGGGCCTTCTCGGTGGTGGCCCCTCGACTCTGGAACTCACTCCCCAGGGACATCAGGCACGCCCCAACTTTGGCAGTCTTTAGGAGGAGCCTGAAAACGTGGTGGTTCCAGTGTGCCTTCCCAGAATAAGGAAAACTCTTAGCAATATATCCTCAAATGCACTTTAATATTGACTTAGGATTGTCTGCGCGCCCTCATTTTTCTCTGAGAACCCTGTTCTAATTTGCCTTACCTTGTTCATGCCCTGCACTTTTTAAATTTTAAATCTGAATTATTACATTTGGCCCAGCCATAGGTTTTTAAATGTTATATGTTTTGGTTTTGATATTGTTATTGTTTATTGCTTATTGTGTATTTTTTTTTTGTTTTTGAGTTTTGTATTGTTTATTTGTTTATTGCTTTTGTTTATTGATGTACTGTGGGCTTGGCCTCATGTAAGCCGCACCGAGTCCCTTGGGGAGATGGTAGCGGGGTACAAATAAAGTATTATTATTATATTATTATTATTAGGTTCTTGTGGGTTTTTTCGGGCTATAGAGCCATGTTCTAGAGGCATTTCTCCTGACGTTTCACCTGCATCTATGGCAAGCATCCTCAGAGGTAGTGAGGTCTGTTGGAATTAGGACAATGGGATTATATATCTGTGGAATCACTGCGGGAGAACATGCCGATCATAGAATCATAGAATCAAAGAGTTGGAAGAGACCTCCTGGGCCATCATCCAGTCCAACCCCATTCTGCCAAGAAGCAGGAATATTGCATTCCAATCACCCCTGACAGATGGCCATCCAGCCTCTGTTTAAAAGCTTCCAAAGAAGGAGCCTCCACCACACTCCGGGGCAGAGAGTTCCACTGCTGAACGGCTCTCACAGTCAGGAAGTTCTTCCTCATGTTCAGATGGAATCTCCTCTCTTGTAGTTTGAAGCCATTGTTTTGTGTCCTAGTCTCCAAGGAAGCAGAAAACAAGCTTGCTCCCTCCTCCTCCCTGTGACTTCCTCTCACATATTTATACATGGCTATCATGTCTCCTCTCAGCCTTCTCTTCTTCAGGCTAAACATGCCCAGCTCCTTAAGCCGCTCCTCATAGGGCTTGTTCTCCAGACCCTTGATCATTTTAGTCGCCCTCCTCTGGACACATTCCAGCTTGTCAATATCTCTCTTGAATTGTGGTGCCCAGAATTGGACACAATATTCCATATGTGGTCTAACCAAAGCAGAATAGAGGGGTAGCATTACTTCCTTAGATCTAGACACTATGCTCCTATTGATGCAGGCCAATCCCATTGGCTTTTTTTGCCGCCACATCACATTGCTGGCTCATGTTTAACTTGTTGTCCACGAGGACTCCAAGATCTTTTTCACACGTACTGCTCTCCGAGCCAGGCATTGTCCCCCATTCTGTATCTTTGCATTTCGTTTTTCCTGCCAAAGTGGAGTATCTTGCATTTGTCACTGTTGAACTTCATTTTGTTAGTTTTGGCCCATCATCTCTCTAATCTGTCAAGATCCCTTTGAGTCCTGCTCCTGTCCTCTGGAGTATTGGCTCTCCCTCCCAATTTGGTGTCGTCTGCAAACTTGATGATCATGCCTACTAACCCCTTCATCTATTAATAATAATAATAATAAAGATTAGAAATAAAGATTATTATTATTATTATTATTATTATTATTATTACCTTTATATCCCACCCTTCTCACCCCAAAGTGGGCTCAAAGGGGCCTTTCAGATAGGCATATGCTCACCAGGCACGGATCCTCTTTATCTGTAGTCCTGATTAACCACAGCAGACTCATGGGGCTGGAAGGGACCCCATCCAGTCCACCCTCCTCAGCCACGCATGCAAACACAAAGCACAAACAAACACTGGGTTTCAGGCCAAAAAGATGGTGAACTCCAGCCAATGCATCTGTGCCCATGTGACATCTTGAATGCCAGGACTGGCCTTATTTATTTATTTATTTATTTATTTATTTCGGTTTCTTCTACCCCGCCCTTCTCACCCCGAAGGGGACTCAGGGCGGCTTACAAAGGCACAATTCGATGCCAGCATCACATAACAGTAGTAACACAAAATAACATCAATTAACAATTAAACAACAGTTCCTGCATTACAACAATAAAACCAATGCAAACCAATACAAACCCAATTACTCCTCATTGACGGTCAGCGTTCGCCATCTCATAGTCCAAATTCCGATTCCACATTGTCAGTCCTGTCAGTCCTAATCGTCTGATTGTCCTTATCTAGTTGTCAGATTGCCCACAGGCCTGGTCCCACAACCACGTCTTTGCTTTCCTCCTGAAGGACAGGAGGGATGTTGATGCCCTAATTTCCCCCGGGAGTGAGTTCCACAGGTGAAGGGCCACCACTGAGAAGGCCCTACTCCTCATCCCCATCAACCTCACTTGTGATAGCAGTGGGATCGAGAGCAGGGCCTCCCCAGATGATCTCAGACTCCGGGGTGGGACATAGAGGGAGATGCGTTTGGTCAGATACACTGGACTGGAACCGTACAGGGTTTTGTAGGTCAAAACCAGCACCTTGAATTGTGCTCGGAACTGAACCGGCAGCCAGTGGAGCCAACACAGCAGAGGGGTAGTATGCTCCCTGTATGACGCTGCAGTGAGTAGTCTGGCTGCCACTCGCTGGACCAGTTGAAGTTTCCGAACAGTCTTCAAGGGCAACCCCACGTAGAGTGCGTTGCAGTAGTCTATTCGGGATGTAACAAGAGCGTGGACCACTGTGGCCAGATCAGACTTCCCAAGGTATGGGCGCAACTGGTGCACAAGTTTTAATTGTGCAAAAGCTCTCTCGGCCACCGCCGAGGGCAGCTCTCTGTGAAGGTGGCTGCTCTAAAGCCATCCTGGGGCCAGCAGGCTGAAAGCTTTGATGCCGAGAAGCAGAGGTTCAAACTGTCACAGCTGACACAAAGGGGAAGTTGCCGAGAAGACGGTTGGGGTTTCCCAGATACATGAGTCCCCTGAGGCATGCAGTGCCCTTTCCATACCAACGCATCACAGCCACACATAGTTTGTGGCTCCACCCACAAGCACCACAAGCCTCCATCCTAAGATCAGTCACAACCAGAATGTTAGGCTCCTATTATAGAATCCTAGAATCCTAGAGTTGGAAGAGACCTCCTGGGCCATCATCCAGTCCAACCCCATTCTGCCAAGAAGCAGGAATATTGCATTCGAAGCACCCCTGACAGATGACCACCCAGCCTCTGTTTCAAAACTTTCAAAGAAGGAGCCTCCACCACACTCCAGGGCAGAGAGTTCCACTGCTGAACAGCCCTCATAGTCAAGACGTTCTTCCTCATATTGAGTTGGGAGATACCTGGTGGGCTATCATCCCGTCCAACCCCATTCTGCCAAGAAGCAGGAATATTGCATTGAAATCACCCCTGACAGAAGCAGGAATATTGCATTCAAAGCACCCCTGACAGATGGCCATCCAGCCTCTGTTTAAAAGCTTCCAAAGAAGGAGCCTCCACCACACTCCGGGGCAGAGAGTTCCACTGCTGAACGGCTCTCACAGTCAGGAAGTTCTTCCTCATGTTCAGATGGAATCTCCTCTCTTTCAGCTTGAAGCCATGGTTCCTTGTCCTATTGCATCCAACAGTTAGACCTCTCTTGTCTGGTGACTCACCACCCAGCACTTGCTTTCAGGCACTGCTCCAGTTGAAAGAAACCATCAGGAGTGCAGCTGTGGTCGGAGGTGACCACCACCACCACCACCACCACAACAACAACAAAACTTTATTTATATACTGCTCTATCTCCCTAAGGGGACTCGGAGCGGTTTCCAAGTAACATAGAATCATTCAAAGAGTAAGGGTGAGTACTCGAGCGGTGTTCCAAGTAACTGCGTGGCGCTACTCCAGATCGTCCATCTAGTGGGTACCGTTTCGTGCAACACGATCTCACACACCACAATGTGGTGTCGGATAGAGAATGGTGTGTTCTGTCTCATGGGCCATCCAGTCCAACCCCATCCTGCCAAGAAGCAGTGGTTTTTGAGTCATGTTAATCCCACGAACAAGCATTACATTTTTATCTATATAGATGGTAGCGAAAACTCAGTTCAAATAATAAAATCTCAATAATCAGTTTGGGTAATCTGGATTATATGGCAGTGTAGATCCTGCCTGAAGCACATGCATGGAAAGCCTGAGCCACCAGCCAAACTATGCTGCCCCAAAGGTAGCCCTCAATGTGGGGGGGGGGGCCCTCCAGAATCAGCCCTTGCTCCTCCCAAAGGTGGGGGGATCTCCCTCCCAAAGGGGCTCTATACTTAGTGGCACCCCAACACCCCACACTTTCTACTCTCTCACACAGGATGAGACGTAACTGGTTCTCACCACTGCCTCTGAGGCCCCTAGGGAGCATGGGCCTGACACTTCCCTCCATCAAGGACAGGGGATCACATTGGTTTTGACCCACCCCAACCCCACCCCTCTCCCCACCCCACACAGAGGAGCCCTTCTGCATCTGCTCCACAGACGGACTGCGTGGGAGCCCTGGTTTAGCGCTTGGCCGGCCCCATCTGTTCACCACTCTCTGCAGAAGCACAGTGGGGCTGGTCTTCAGGAGCACATCCTTGGCGTGCCTTTAGCTCCCGCACCCCGAGATTGGTTCCCAGGCACGACCCCAGGATGTCCCAAGGCGACAACGTGACCTACGCTGACCTCAACTTTGGAAAGATCCCTCCAAAGAAGGCCCTCCAGGAAGGTATTGAGTTGGGTGGCTCAGGATCGCAGACCCCAGGTCTTTCTTTCCAGACCCCCATCTAATCCCATTCCCACCACATCCCATCTTATCCTATTCCATTCCATTCCATCCCACCCCATCCTATTCTATTCCCATCCCATTCTATTCCCATCTTATCTCATATATCATGTCATCTCATCCCATCCCATTCTATTCCTATCTCATCCCGTCCCATTCCATCCCATTCTATTCTCATGTCATGTCATGTCATCTCATCCCATCCCATTCTAATGTCATCTCATGTCATCCCATCCCATTCCATCTCATCCCATTCTATTCCCATCTCATCTCATATATTATGTCATCTCATCCCATCCCATTCTATTCCCATCTCATTCCGCCCCATTCCATCCCATTCTATTCCCATCTCATATCATGTCATGTCATCCCATCCCATCCCATTCTAATGTCATCTCGTGTCATCCCATCCCATCCCATCCCATTCCATCTCATCCCATTCTATTCCCATCTCGTGTCATCCCATCCCATTCCATTCCCATCTTATCTCATCTCATCCCATCCCATCCCATTCTTTTCCAATCTCTTGTCATCTCATGTCATTTCATCTCATCCCATTCTAATGTCATCTCACGTCATCCCATCCCATCACATCCCATTCTATTCCCATCTCATGTCATCTCATGTCATGTCATATCATGTCTTCCCATCCCATCCCATTCTATTCCAATCTCTTGTCATCTCTTGTCATCTCCTCCCATCCCATCCCATCCCATTCTAATGTCATCTCGTGTCATCCCATCCCATCCCATTCTATTCCAATCTCTTGTCATCTCATGTCATTTCATCTCATCCCATTCTAATGTCATCTCACGTCATCCCATCCCATCACATCCCATTCTATTCCCATCTCATGTCATCTCATGTCATGTCATATCATGTCTTCCCATCCCATCCCATTCTATTCCAATCTCTTGTCATCTCTTGTCATCTCCTCCCATCCCATCCCATCCCATCCCATCCCATTCTAATGTCATCTCGTGTCATCCCATCCCATCCCATTCTATTCCAATCTCTTGTCATCTCATGTCATTTCATCTCATCCCATTCTAATGTCATCTCACGTCATCCCATCCCATCCCATCACATCCCATTCTATTCCCATCTCATGTCATCTCATGTCATGTCATATCATGTCTTCCCATCCCATCCCATTCTATTCCAATCTCTTGTCATCTCTTGTTATCTCCTCCCATCCCATCCCATCCCATTCTAATGTCATCTCGTGTCATCCCATCCCATCCCATCCCATCCCATTCTATTCCAATCTCTTGTCATCTCATGTCATTTCATCTCATCCCATTCTAATGTCATCTCACGTCATCCCATCCCATCCCATCACATCCCATTCTATTCCCATCTCATGTCATCTCATGTCATGTCATATCATGTCTTCCCATCCCATCCCATTCTATTCCAATCTCTTGTCATCTCTTGTTATCTCCTCCCATCCCATCCCATCCCATTCTAATGTCATCTCGTGTCATCCCATCCCATCCCATCCCATCCCATTCTATTCCAATCTCTTGTCATCTCATGTCATTTCATCTCATCCCATTCTAATGTCATCTCACGTCATCCCATCCCATCACATCCCATTCTATTCCCATCTCATGTCATCTCATGTCATGTCATATCATGTCTTCCCATCCCATCCCATTCTATTCCAATCTCTTGTCATCTCTTGTTATCTCCTCCCATCCCATCCCATCCCATTCTAATGTCATCTCGTGTCATCCCATCCCATCCCATCCCATCCCATTCTATTCCAATCTCTTGTCATCTCATGTCATTTCATCTCATCCCATTCTAATGTCATCTCACGTCATCCCATCCCATCACATCCCATTCTATTCCCATCTCATGTCATCTCATGTCATGTCATATCATGTCTTCCCATCCCATCCCATTCTATTCCAATCTCTTGTCATCTCTTGTTATCTCCTCCCATCCCATCCCATCCCATTCTAATGTCATCTCGTGTCATCCCATCCCATCCCATCCCATCCCATTCTATTCCCATCTCATGTCATCTCATGTCATGTCATATCATGTCTTCCCATCCCATCCCATTCTATTCCAATCTCTTGTCATCTCTTGTTATCTCCTCCCATCCCATCCCATCCCATCCCATTCTAATGTCATCTCGTGTCATCCCATCCCATCCCATCCCATCCCATTCTATTCCAATCTCTTGTCATCTCATGTCATTTCATCTCATCCCATTCTAATGTCATCTCACGTCATCCCATCCCATCACATCCCATTCTATTCCCATCTCATGTCATCTCATGTCATGTCATATCATGTCTTCCCATCCCATCCCATTCTATTCCAATCTCTTGTCATCTCTTGTTATCTCCTCCCATCCCATCCCATCCCATTCTAATGTCATCTCGTGTCATCCCATCCCATCCCATCCCATCCCATTCTATTCCAATCTCTTGTCATCTCATCTCATCTCATCTCATCCCATTCTATTCCCATCTCATGTCATTTCATCTCATCTCATCCCATCACATCCCATTCTATTCCCATCTCATGTCATCTCATGTCATGTCATATCATGTCTTCCCATCCCATCCCATTCTATTCCAATCTCTTGTCATCTCTTGTCATCTCCTCCCATCCCATCCCATTCTAATGTCATCTCGTGTCATCCCATCCCATCCCATTCTATTCCAATCTCTTGTCATCTCATCTCATCTCATCTCATCCCATTCTATTCCCATCTCATGTCATGTCATCTCATGTCATGTCATCCCATCCCATTCTATTCCATTCTCTTGTCACCTCAAGTCATCTCATGTCATCCCATCCCATCCCATTTTATTTCATTCCCATCCTGTTCTATTCCATCCCATCCCACTCCACTCCGCCCCACCCCACCCCATTCCATTGCATTCCCATCTGATGTTGTCTTTTAGAGCCAAACGAGGGGGATCTTGCCTATGAGAACGTTTATGGCCCTGGGGCCAAAGAAGTGGAGGAAGGAGAGGAGGAGGAGGAGGAGGCACCTGGGAGAGGCAAGGCTGCAACAGGTGAGACCTGATTTCCCTTCCCAACTGGCATGGATCATTAGGCCAAGGGGAGGGGGGGGAGGAAAGAGAGGAAGGTTGGCCCAAGCGCACCCTCCTGCCCCTTGGTCCTGGGCTGGACTGAGGGCCATCTTGGCCAAGCATCAGGCTCCCTGGTCCTTACTTTGAAAGTAGTTGTTGTCCTCCAGAAACTTTGTTTTTGTGGCTGCCACAAATTAGGTTCAATTGTGTTGTTTTAGTTTTCCATGGCCAGAATCATGGGGGGTTGCAATGAATTTTCTGAGCTGTCTGGCCATGCTTCAGCAGCATTCTCTTCTGACCTTCCACTTGCATCTGTGGCTACTGGCATCTTCTGTTGGCAGTGAAGCAAGTGGAGTGTGTGTATGTGTATATATATATATCTATATATACACACACACACTGTACACACTGTATATACTGTATATAGTCAAGTATAAGCCTAGTTTTTCAGCCCCCTTTTTAGGCTGAAAAAGCACCCCTCGGTTTATACTCGAGTTGAGATTATTTATTATTTTACTCTGCTATTAGTATTATTTTATTACCTTTATTATTTTATTCTATTTATTATTATAATTGCATTTATTATTTTCTCTATTTATTATTGTTTATATTACATTTATTATTATTCTATATTTATTATTATTATTACATATATTATTTTACTCTCTTAATTATTATGGGAAGGATAGGTGAGCACATTTACATGGAAGAAGGTGAGGATCATGGTTTAATCTGAGTTTGACAGTCTTATCTTACATTACAGTTTTATGTAAATATCCAAAAGCATTTAACTTGCTAAAGCCTCAATTAATGTAATTTTATTGGTATCTATTTTTATTTTGCATTTCCCACCCTCGCCTTATACTCAAGTCAATACATTTTTCCAATTTTTTGTAGTAAAATTACATGCCTTGGCTTATATTCGTGTCGGCTTATACTTGAGTACATACGGTATATGTGTGTGTGTGTGTGTGTGTGTGTGTGTATCAGTGGAATAATGTCCAGGGTGGGAGAAGGAACCTTTGTCTGTTTGAAGCAGGTGTGAATGTTGCAATTAGCAAGCTGGAATAGCATTGAGTAGCCATGGAGTTTGCAAAGTCAGCATTGAGTAGCCATGGAGTTTGCAAAGTCAATCAGTGAGGGTACCTGCATAGAGGTAACCCAAGGACTTTGTTGCCCAGGAGGAAACAATGGAAATTAACAAAATCTGGTTACCAGTATTTAAAAACACCAGAATCAAGACAGTAAACAAGGAACACCTCTCGGAAACAGGGGAACTCCAGGCAGCCAACAATCAAGTGCCAGTGAACATCTCCCAAACAGAGGATGCCTCCAGGCAACAACAGCCAGGCTACCTCTATGCAGATACCCTTACTGATTGACTTTGCAGCTTCATGACTACTCATAGAATCATAGAGTTGGAAGAGGCCTTGTGGGCCATCCACTCCAACCCTCTGCCACGGAGCAGGAAAATCCCTATGATTTCCCCTCACATGTTCATCGTGTATGTGGCTGGGGAGGGGGGGGGCTGAGGACAGGAATTGTGGAAGTCCAAAACACCTGGAGGACTGAAGTTTGCCTATGCCTGGTGTAAATAAATATGTAGTAATGGGTAAACTTTCCCTTGGTTCATCTTTACATGCAAAAATAGGGCATTTCCATAATTTCCTCTCTGGTTGCCGAGAATCCTATGGTTTCTAGGCAGATTCCATGCACAACTGGCCCTTGGCAATGCCATCTGAGGAATCTTCTGCACACAAAAGTGCACATAGATGCCCTGGGCAGAAAACCCTCCAGGACAGGCTGTTTCTTGAAACGCTGAAATACGGCTTCTTCCATTTCTGCCCATGCATCGAGGCATGATGAGTGCAATCTGTGTCGCTACAAGGACATGCAAATTGTGTGGATTCCCTCCAGTGCCCACACACAAAACACATTTCCTAGGCCCAAAGCAGTGTTTTGTGTAAGAGTGGAATGTTTCCCGTACAAGAACTGTGAGATTACATACACATTTCTCCCCAATCACATGCATTTCTGTGCAGACACATTTCCTCAGAGACATCCCAAAGGGACCCTAGCAGCTGTCCTCCTTTAAGTGCCAGGACCTCCTTCTTCCTGCCGGGTCAGCTGTCCAGAAGGTCCCCCCTCTGTGCCCTTTGTCCGCAATGGGTCCAGCCCCAGCCTCTCCAAGGGGGTCTTTCCTTCTGCCAGTTTGGTTCTGGGTTCTGGCAAAAATTTGCTGCTTTTGCAGGCAGCAGGGTCAACCTCTCCCTACCTCTGATTCAGGGTTTGGCAATGGCCAGGGGTCAGGGAGCCACATTGGCAATCCAGGGGACTTTTGGCAAACTGTGTATCCCACTTGTTTTCCTTTGTATCCCTTCCAATCCCCCCAGTGTCCATTGGAGTGTCCTCTGGGCAATTGGTTTCTGTTGTGACTCAGCCTGTGCTTGAGCCTGTGAATGTGTTTCAGTCTCCTGATGTTTCTGTGTCTGATGTGGGGAATGAGGAAAGAAATCAGTCTCCTGTTGCTTCTGATGTGGGGGATGCTGGGACTGACTCTGAGGTGCAAGATGGAGACACTTCGGTCAATGAGTTTCATGCAGACAGTGACAGAGAGGCTTCGGTGCAAAGGGCAGATTCTCATGAGAATGCTTCTGTCAGGTCTTGGGAGAAAGATTTACTCCCTCCACCTGTGAGCTCTCCAGATTCTAGTGTGGAAAACAGTCTGACACCTGGTAAAGTTAATGAGGAGTCAGATAAGCAGAGTCGGCAGCTGGAGATTAGCCAGAATCGACAAGAGGCCCAGTGTTTACGCAGACCCGAAAGAATTTTTCAACTAAAGTCAAAGACTGGTAGAAAACAAAACCAATTTTTGGGATTTAAGGTTTGTCTGTAGAAAATCTTGTCAGATCAGGCATCGTTTGGAAGCCAGGTGCAAGCCTCATGGAATTCCTGTTCAAGTGGTCTCGTCTTCATGGAGTTTTCTAGCCTTTCAAGTTGACTAGCAGTGTCTGGTCTGTTCTTGCTATTTTGTTTGATTCCTGTCTGGATAATCATTGCCTTAGATCAGTGTTTCTCAACCTTCCTGATGCCGTGACCCCTTTATACGCTTCCTCATGTTGTGGTGACCCCCAGCCATAAAATTATTTTCGTTGCTGCTTCATAACTGTAATTTTGCTACTGTTATGAATTGTCATGTAAATATCTGATATGCAAGGTGTATTTTCATTCACTAGACCAAATTTGGCACAAATACCAAATACACCAAAATTTGAATACAGGTTGGGTTGTGGGGGTTGATTTTGTCATTTGGGAGTTGTAGTTGCTGAGATTTATAGTTCACCTACAACCAAAGAGCATTCAGAACTCCACCAATGATGAAATTAAATCAAACTTGGCACACAGAAGTCTCGTGACCAAGAGAAAATACTGGAAGGGTTTGGTGGGCATTGACTTTGAGTTTTGGAGTTGTAGTTTACCTACATCCAGAGAACACAGTGGACTGAAGCAAAGATAGATCTGGACCAAACTTGGCACAAACACTCAATATGCCCAAATATGAACACTGGTGGAGTTGGGGAAAATAAACCTTGACATTTGGGAGTTGTAGTTGCTGGGATATATAGTTCACCTACAATCAAAGAGCATCTGAACCCCACCAATGATAGAGTTGGGCCAAACTTCCCACACAGAACCCCCATGACCAACAGAAAATACCCCCCCCCCCCAGGGTCCCGACCCCCAGGTTGAGAAACACTGCCTGAGATTATATTTTCATGCTTTTTGGACATTGCTTTTGATGGCTACGTTTGGACACTGTTTTATCTTGCTGCCTTTGAATGCCTTATTGCTTTTTGGAATCTCATCTATCTTTACAAGCATTTATTTCTACTGGCTTTTTTTTTTGCTAAGCTTTAATAAAAAAGGATTGTTCCTTCACTCAACGTGTGGTGTGTTTATAGTCAGAGGGGCTAATTCCTGTTCTGGAGTACAACAGCTTCTTTGGAGCCCTCGGTGGCACAATGGGTTAAACCTCTGTGCTGGCAGGACTGCTGATCGACAGGTCAGCAGTTCAAATCTGGGGAGAGGGGTTGAGCTCCCTCTGTCAGCTCTAGCTCCCCATGCAGGGACACGAGAGAAACCTCCACAAGGATGGTAACACATCAAAACATCCGAGCGTCCCCTGGGCAATGTCTATGCAGATGGCCAGTTCTCTCAAACCAGAAGGGCTTAGGAGCTGTCTAGGTTTAGCCTGGAGGAAAGAAGGCTGAGAGCAAGGGACGTGAGACCCATGTTTACATATCTGAAAGGAGGTCCTGTTGAGGAGGGAAGGAGCTTGTTTTCTACTGCATTGGAGTTCAGGATAAAATGGAGCAACAGATTCAAATGGAAGGGAAAGAGATTCTATTTAAACATTGGGAAGAACATCCTGGTGGTAAGAAGAGCTGTTCAGCCGTGGAATATGCTGCTTCCTAGTAGTCCAGAGAAGTCACCTTCCCTGGAGGCTTTTAAACAGAGGCTGCACATGCTGCCAATGGCTTTCATGATCGGAATCACTGGGTTACTGTGAGTTTTTCAGGCTGTGTGACCATGTTCCTACAGCATTCTCTCCTGACGTTTCACCTGTATCTGTGGCTAATGGCATCTTTAGGTATGTTGGCAATGGCCAACAGGCTGCATGGTCATCTGTTGGGAGGATTGTGCCTTCCTCCCTGGTAGAAAGAAGGGGGTTGGACTGGATGGTCCTTGGGGGTCTCTTCCAGCTTTGGGATGCCATGATTCTTGGCTCAGCCACTGCCCTTTGAGAGGCTTCAGCATGTCCTTCCTTGTGGGTCTCTTCTAGGATGGAAAGGATGGACCAGGAAGATTGCCCTGGGTGCCGTGGCCACCAGCCTCTTCCTCCTGGCCACCACCGTGGGACTTGGGGTACGATGTGAGTAGTGGCACATGGGGGGAGGGACATGGGACAGGGAAGGCAAAGGGCAAAATGAATGGAAATGCACTGGGAACGGAAGCTGATTTGTCTTGTGACACTGTTGTGGTTAACTAGGACCGCAGTTAAAGAGGATCCGTGCCTGGCGAGCCTATGCTAAAAGCCAGGTAGGCCAGGGCAGAGAAACCAACACACAGAGGTTTATTCAATTTGGCTAAAAGGTATACAATCATCACCTATACCTGCATACACATGAACAGTGAAATATGTATGAAATAGATCTAGTATTATTTATTTATTTATTTTTAAACCAGTGCGATTTTAATCAAATGTTTTTAATGTAATGTATTTTAATGAACTTTTTAAAATTGTGTTTATGACAGTGGTTAGCGCTCAAATGAGTGCTTGTTGTGAAACCGCCCTGAGTCGTCGTTGCCCCCCCCCCCCCCGGGTGTGTGAAAAGGATGGGGTACAAATATACTAAATGAATAAATAAATAAATAAATAATGTAAAACATTTATATTCCGCCCTTCTCACTCCGAAGGGGACTCAGGGCAGAGCACAACATTCAATGCCAGGACATAAATAGATTATACACATACGTAAATATTAAAAGCAGAAACGTACCAATTATGTAGAAAATCTTGAAGAGTAGATATAATCTATTCAAGGATTAGATATGATAGTTGTTGCTGGTCTGGTCTTGATCTTCTGTTGCTCTGAATCTATACATGTCTGGAAAGGGTATATTTATTTCTGAGCCCTTGGTGAACAATATATCTTTGAGGGAGATTACCATGGCTCGATAACAACATGACCCATTACTTCTGCTGTGGCTACCTTTTGTGATGGCTGGGGAGCATTTTGGCACCAGGTAGGATCAACTCCACAGGGGTCACTCTGCAAAGAAAGTCCAGGGGCTCCTCTTTGTTGCCTAGAAGGAGTCCTTGAGGCCCTCTTAGGGCAGGCCAGGGTCTCCAGGGAAAGCCATGTCCCTCCCCATCCCACTGATGGTACCCCTTCCTTGCAGACTGGCAGGTCTCTGGACATGACTCCATGTTCTTGTCTTCCTGAGGGTCCACCTTGTGCCCCTTCCCCTCTCCTCTTGCCCTACTGATGCCTCTTCCTTGCAGACTGGCAGGTCTCTGGTCAACTCCACCGGGCATCACAAAGCCACACTGCCCACAGCGCTGCTCTGGCACAGAGGATCGGTGCCCAGGAGGAGATCCTGGATGAGACGGAGGGCCAACTGCAACAGACCAGGGAGGAGCTCTCTTCCAGCTGGGAGGCCCTGAGGAAGAGCCAGGAGGCCGCTAACAAGACCCAGCAGCATCTGCAAGGAGTAGAAGAGGTGTTGAGGGAAGCCAACCACAACCTGGAGACCCTGAAGCAGGAGAACAAAGAGAAGGAGGCACTGCTGCAGCAGCATGTCGGTAAGCGGAGGAGCTTCCTTGGGCTAGGAGAATCTTCCTTTGGCTTGGCTGGCTTAAGCCTCATGACGTTGCGCATCAAAAGTTACTTCAGTGGACTTTCTCATTGTTTCCTTTCTCTTCCTGCACTGGCAGGGGTCCTGACCCCCAGGTTGAGAAACACTGCCCTGGTGAAGCCGATTGGAACTTTAGGAGGGTCATCCCCGGGAGGAGGGACCCTGAGACCCCACCAAAGAGGGATCACTACTTTGGCGAGCTAGAGAAGCCTGATTTCAGCAATTTTATTGAGCTTAAAATAATTCAAAATAATCCTCGCCAAAGTTGAAGAAGCACCGAGGTGTTTATTAGCGATTCAGCTGAAAAGGATGCAATGTAGCAATCATTCACCTACAAAGCATACCAGTACAGAGATCAGAGACATTTTTATAGGGTTTACAAGTTTAGAAGTTTCAAAATTCCCGCCCTCCGCCCTCCACCCGGCTCGCAGGTGATTGGCTGACGCGATAACAGCTGGGAGGAGGCTTGGTCGCCCGCCCTGCGCCAGGGCCAATCACGGAGCTCCTCCGCTGCGCAGGAGCCAATGGAAAAGCTCCTACCACCTCAGCGCTCTGGCGAATCAGGAGAAGGGAGGCGGGACGAGGAAGAAACAATGGGCTGGTGAATGGATTAATGGATTTCATGCCTTGGGGTCTGTGACGGATGCCCAGGCTATTGTTCTTGAATGAATTTGTGATAGACATTGATTACTTTATCTGAGTCTTCCTGTCGCCATCAGATAGGACACAATGGAGGGACTGGGGTGAATGTTTGTCATGATAAGTTTTGAAAGGAGAAACAGTTTTGGGGGGAAAGACCCCTTTTGAGGGCCTTCCGCCCCCAGGGTGATGTGATCAAAGGTGCCAAGCGAAACCTTTTCATTGAATGGGCCAACTCCGAGGTTCAATTTGAGGTTTCCAATTCTATGTTTTCCATGCACAACTTATCATGATAAGAGTTCTTTGTGATAGTTAATTGTCCTTTTCAACAGCTGGCCGCTTCCTTGATGAGCTTCCTCCAAGAGGGAGGGGAAAGGGCGATGGGTTGGGTGCTAGGGCAAGAATTAAGGAAAAATACATGGGGAATATAGGAATCCAAAGAAATTCATATCAAACATCCCTTCCCACCCCCTGCCCGCCAGAGAAATTGATTAAGATAATAATTTTAATAAAACATGTGTCCATAGTTCATACTGGGGAAGTTCAGACGTGAAAATGAGTTCTTTAGAGCCAAAAAGAAATTGAAGAAAGTCCAACAGTCACAAAAGGGTGCTTGATGATCTCCATTGAGCCAAGGAATGGATTCTTACAGCGCCAAGATCAAGCTGGTCCTTAGTCCTTGGGAAACTATAGCTTCCTCCAAGGACTGGGACCCCAAGGCCAGGCTCTTCCCTGAAAGCCTCATGGGGCCCTTGTTGTTGCTAGTGTCTTGGCAAATTGACCAAAACTTAACCCCTTTGTGCAGTCTGGTACCCTTGCCCTTTGCAGAACTATAAGTTACCATCCCTCATTGGGGGGGGGCATGCTTGACTTCATTGGCAGATGCCCATCCAACTTCTGTTTAAAAGCCTCAGAAGAAGGAACCTCCACCAGACTCTGAAGCAGAGAATTCCACTGCTGAATAGTGGACCCTCTTTCTCCAACTGTCCCGGTTTGGCAGCAATGATCCTGATTCATCTTCTGCTGCCCCGTAATTGATTTTTCAAAGTCCCTATTTCTTCTCTTTCCTCTTCTTTCTGCTTTCCTCCTTTGCCCTCCGCTTCCTTCAAATGCTGCAAAGTGTTTGCCCTTTGTTAACCAATGGGGGCAAAGGGCTGTGTGTGTGTGGCTTGCCCTTCCCAGTCAGACCAGGCCAAAGCAACCTGCTGCAGCCCCTTTCCTTGCTGCCCTCTCCCTCCATGAAGGCCTTGCACCCTTGACCTTGCTGGTGGGCATTTACACTCCTTCCTTTTCCAGGCTCCTGCCCCCGCGGGTGGAAGCTCTTCCGCTGGAAATGCTTCTGGATTTCGAACGAAGTGAAGAATTGGCAGAAAAGCTCGGAAGACTGTAGATGGAAGTCCTCTCAGCTGGCTGTCCTGAAGAAGCCCTGGGACACAAGGGAGTTCTGGGACGCCGTGATCCTCAAGGTAAAATGGCTTTTGATGCACTGGCTGTTGTGGTTTGTAATGGGTGTTTCCAATTGCTTTCATCTAACTAAATATTTCTTTGAAGTGCATTTTAATAAAGGCAACCTTTTCTGTGTTTCCAAACTATTTCATTGGGATCCTTTAGCCACACTGCTGTGTACATTAACATTATTTTGTGTAAGTCACCCATTCAGTTTGGCTTATGATTGTGCAAGCAGAATTCACAACTGTCACCAAACCCAAACAAAAACAAGCATGCTCAACTACATTAACTTAGATTCACAAACTATAGTAAACAGGCCGGTAGCCAGGATTTCGTTTCGGGGGGGGGGTGTGTGAAAAATTTTCAAGGGGGGTTCAGGGGGGCTGAGTTTTGGGGGGGCTGAGTCTGAGTGAAAGAGGGTCTAGCCTATTTATTTATTTATTGCATTTGTTGACCACCGCTCTCAGCCCTAGGGCAACTCGCGGCGGTGTACAACATATAAAAACAGTTTACAATAGAGTACAATAAGAAATCAACATATCAATAAGACAAGCTAATCTAAATTACACTAGCTGATCCGCTCCGTCACATCAGAATCATAACCAATCTCATAATCCATATTCCGTTCCAGTTGTCGTTACCAGTTAATGTAGCATTTAGTTAAATGCCTTCTCAAATAGCCAGGTCTTTAGGCTCTTACGGAAAGCCATAAGGGAGGGCGCCTGTCTGATGTCAACAGGGAGGGTGTTCCACAGCCGGGGGGCCACCACCGAGAAGGCCCTCTCTCTCGTCCCCGCCAGGCGTGCCTGCGAGGCAGGCGGGATCGAGAGAAGGGCCTCCCCAGACGATCTCAAGGCCCTCGTGGGCTCATAGGCCAAGATGCGGTCCGAAAGGTATTTTGGGCCGGAACCGTTTAGGGCTTTGTAGGCCAACACCAGCACCTTAAATTGGGCCCGGTAGCAAATCGGCAGCCAGTGGAGCTGGAACAACAAGGGCGTTGTATGCTCCCTGCATCCCGCTCCTGTTAGTAACATGGCTGCCGCGCGCTGGACTAGCTGGAGCTTCCGGTCCGTCTTCAAGGGCAGCCCCACGTAGAGAGCGTTGCAGTAGTCAAGGCGGGATGTGACCAGAGCGTGTACTACCGTGGCCAAGTCAGACTTCCCAAGATACGGGCGCAGCTGGCGCACGAGCCTAAGCTGTGCAAATGCTCCCCTGGTCACCCCTGAAACCTGGAGATCCAGGCTCAAAGATGAATCCAGGGTCACACCCAAGCTGCGAACCTGCGCCTTCAAGGGGAGTGCGACCCCGTCCAGCACAGGCTGTAACCCTATGCCCTGTTTGGCCTTGCGACTGACCAGGAGTACCTCTGTCTAGCAAACCTTTTGTATCATTACCCCATATGGGATATATTGATTATGGTGGGATCAGATCATGATATGAACAAACATAACAGTTTAAATAATGCACCAGTAAGGTCTTTTCGCGAACCACCATGAGAATTTGGGGGGGGGGGCTGAAGCCCCTCAAGCCTCCCCCCCTGGCTACATGCCTGATAGTAAAGACTCCTGCGCCTGGAGCCTGGAGCCATGTCAATTCCAGACAACTTCACCCTATGTCTGGAGGCTCTGTCGAACTGGCTACGTGCTAGCAGACTGAAGGTGAACCCAGCGAAGACTAAGATTCTCTGGCATGGCCGCTCGATTGGTCTGACTCCTCCATTACCCACCTTCGATGGTGCCACCCTATCTCCATCGACCACTGTCAAGAGCTTAGGTGTCGTCCTGGATTCACAGCTGACAATGGAAGCTCAGGTGGCTGCTGCCAGCAAACAGACTTTTTTCCATCTACGACAAGCGAGGCAACTGGCACCCTCCCTATCTGACGAGGCTCTGGCAACGGTCATCCATGCCACGGCCACATCTAGGCTGGACTATTCCAATGCCCTGAATGTGAGCCTTCCGATGTCTATGACCCGAAAGCTCCGTATCGTTAAGAACGTGGGAGCCAGGTTACTCACAAGAACGCCCACGAAATGCCATAGAACACCAGTGCTGCAACATTGACATTGGCTTCCAACTGAGTCCCGTGTCCTGTCTAAGATGCTAGTTCTGACCTTTAAAACTCTTAACGGCCAGGGTCCATCGTACCTTAGGGACCGCCTCCCCTTCTCCCATCATCATCGGAGGTCGCAACGACCAGCCCAATGTGACTTACTCCATATCCCGGGTCCTAGAGAAGTGCCCTTGGAAAGGACCAGGCGCAGGTGGGCTTTCTCTATTTCTGCCCCTCCTGCCTTATTGTGGGATTATCCCTTATGGCCGCCCTACATGAGAGCCATGCGTGACTTCGGGCCTTTTACTCTCGCACTTAAGACACCCGGCTTTTGACTAGAGCATTCAATCTCTGTTGATTTTTAATTTTTGTATGTATGTATTTTATCTTTTATAATTTAGCTGTAAATCGCCTGGAGCATTCTTGGATGGAGGGTGATTAATAAGTAATTAAATGATGATGATGATGATGATGATGATGACTTGTGCTTGGAGAGCAGCCTAGCACAAGCAGGGATGTGTTATTACCCCAACCTTATTCCCCATCTTCATTGCTATGATACTTCAGCTTGTTGATGGGAAGCTTCCCACCGGAGTGGAAATCATTTCTCGGACAGACTGGAAGCTATTGAACCTCAGCAGACTGAAAGCCAAAACCAAGGTCACAACAACATCTGTTATAGAACTCAGTATGCTGATGACAGCGTTGTCTGTGTGAATTCAGAAGAACACCTACAAGCCACTCTAAACACCTTTGCAGAAACATACGAGAAGCTCAGCCTGTCATTGAACATCAAGAAAACCAAAGTGCTCTTCCAGGAGTCACCAGCCAACCCCTTTCCAATGCCAGAAATACAGCTTGATGGTATGACATTAGAAAATATTGACTATTTCCACTACCTTGGCAGCAACACCTCCACAAAGTCAATATTGACACTGAAATACAACACTGCCTGAGCTCTGTGAGTGCAGCATTTTTCCAAATGAAGCAGAGAGTGTTTGAGGACCGGGACATCCGTAGGGAGACCAAGGGGCTTGTCTATAAAGCTATTCCCCTCCCAACCCTGCTCTATGCCTGCGAGATGTGGACTGTCTACAGACGTCACATGCAACTCCTGGAACAATTCCATCAGCGTTGCCTCCAAAAAATCCTGCAAATCTCCTGGGAAGACAAGTGGACAAATGTCAGCTTGCTGGAAAAAGCAAAGACCACCAGCATTGAAGCGATGGCCCTCCACGATCAACTCCGCTGGACCAGCCACATTGTCCAAATGCCCGATCACTGTCTCCCAAAGCAGCGACTCTACTCCGAATTCAAGAATGGGAAATGGAATATTTGTGGACAGGAAAAGAGGTTTAAAGGTGGGCTTAAAGCCAACCTCAAAAACTGTGGCAAAGACACTGAGAACAAGGTCCCCCATGACCTTCTGGCAAGGAAACTAGTCCAATGTGGGCTAGGCAAAACTACGGTGAGGTGGATCTTGAATTGGTTAAATGGACGAACCCAGAGGGTGATTCTCACCAATGCTTCCTCTTCATCCTGGAAAGAAGGGATGAGCGGAGGGCCATCCGCAGGTCTCCGTCCTGGGCCCGGTCCTGCTCAGGATCTTCATCAATGGCTTAGATGAAGGGTTAGGAGGCAGGATCATCAAGTTTGCAGATGAGGCCAAATTGGGAGGGAGAGCCAAGACTCCAGAAGACAGGAGCAGAATTCAGAACGATCTTGACAGATGAGAGATGATGGGTCAAAACTAACAAAATGAAGTTCAACAGGGACAAATGCAAGATACTCCACTTAGGGAGAAGAAAATGAAATGCAAAGATACAGAATGGGGGACGATGATGCCTGGCTCGAGAGCAGTACGTGTGGAAAAGACCTTGGAGTCCTTGTGGAGAGGAAGGTGAACATGAGCCAGGAATGGGATGTGGTGGCAAAAAAAGCCAATGGGATTTTGGCCTGCATCAAGAGGAGCCTAGTGTCTAGATCTAGGGAAGCCATGCTCCCCATTCTCTATTCCACTTTGGTTAGACCACTTTACCTGGAATATTGTGTCCAATTCTGGGCACCACAATTCAAGAGAGATATTGACTCTAAGCTGGAATGTGTCCAGAGGAGGGCGACTAAAATGATCAAGGGTCTGGAGAACAAGCCCTATGAGGAGCGGCTTAAGGAGCTTGGCATGTTTAGCCTGAAGAAGAGAAGGCTGAGAGGAGATATGATAGCCATGTATAAATATGTGAGAGGAAGCCACAGGGAGGAGGGAGCAAGCTTGTTTTCTGCTTCCTTGGAGACTAGGACGCAATGGAACAATGGCTTCAAATCACAAGAAAGGAGATTCCATCTGAACATGAGGAAGAACTTCCTGACTGTGAGAGCCGTTCAGCAGTGGAACTCTCTGCCCCGGTGGAGGCTCCTTCTTTGGAAGCTTTGAAACAGAGGCTGGATGGCCATCTGTCAGAGGTGATTTGAACGCAATATTCCCGCTTCTTGGCAGAATGTGGTTGGACGGGACGGCCCTTGAGGTCTCCTCCAACTCTTTGATTCTATGATTCTATGTACTTTACAAGCACTGAAATATATAGAAAAATCAGGCTCTCTCTGTATCAGAAACCCAAGCTGACAGGACAAGCCAAGCTGCTGTCCAGGCACAGCAGGAGGGGGGGTGAACATTCCAGGAAGCGGGGGAGATAAGTCCACCCTAGCACCAACAGAGATAAGTAAAAAGTAAGGAGCTTATCCCCCTCCCTCCTGACAGGTCAAAGTAGTCCCCTTGATTGATGCATGTAAGTTGTAAGCTGTATGCTGCTCTTTAGAAAGAAATACAGAGACATGCGTTCTCATGTTGGAAGATAAAATTTGATATTTCTATGATGCTAAAGTGACATAGTG